TCAAAGTTCGAACGCTTTTGAAGTGTTTTATTGCTCACGTTGAGGATGCAGGATAACCAGAGTCGGAAGAGACCTTGCAGGTCATCTAGTCCAACCCCCTTCTCAAGTAGGAGTCTCCTATTACCATTTCAGATAAATGGTTGGCCAATCTCTTTTGAAGAACCTCCAGTGTTGGGAAATCCATAAATTCTGGAGGCAGGCAGTTCCACTGGTTAATTGTCCTCACTGGAAGGAAAATTTCTCCTTGGTTCTAGGTTGCTTCTCTCCTTGATGAGTTTCCACCCGTTCTCTCTTGCCCTGCCTGGAGAATAAGTTGACCCCTCCTTCCTCCTCTTTGGGGCAGCCCCTCAAATACTGGAATTCTGCTATCATCTCACCCCTGGTCCTTCTCTTCCCTAGTCTAGCCATACCCAGTTCCTGCAATCCTCCTTCATACGTTTTATCCTCCAAGTCCCTAAATCGTCTTTGTTTCTCTTCTCTGTGCTCTTTCTAGAGTCTCAACGTCGTTTACTTTACTTTATTGTCATTGCACCTCGTACAACAAAATTAATCACCATCTTCCGTGTACGTTCCGACGATGAAAATAAACCCAAACGCCCGTCCCTCACATTCTATATATTGAATTGATATTGCATTAAGATTGCATTATACAGGGGAATTCAATAGAGCTCCTGCCCTGGGATGGAAGTTGTTTTTGAGCCTATTGATCCTTAAGTCGAGGACTTAACCTGTAAGTGAAAAACGGGCAGGACGTGTTTTGAGGAAAGCGGTGGGGAGAGGACAAGATTACAAATCTCATAAACAGAGCCACAAGTTCTTCCAACAAGTATATTTGGGTTGGTTGGTTGGTTTTTCCGCGCACAACCAAAGGGGGAAAAAATAAAATAAGGAACATTTTGTAAACAAGCTTTGCCGTTCATTTATACATTCAAGATTAGGCACAACAGAAGTCAGAGGCAGGAGAGTGTGGTCCTTTTAATGCAGAGAGCTGCATTGCTATGAGCTGGACGTCAATCCAAAGGGAAAGGTTCTTTCCTGGTCACCTGGCCACAGGTGGTTAGGTAGGCAAGGCAAAAGGAGCCAGGGGTGGGCTTCAAAACATGTTAGCAAAAGGGTCCTCTGCCCGGTGGCTGGGTGGGCGTGGCCTGGTCGGCCTCCATGATGTCATTTTTGCCCTTCCCGGACTCCGGAGGCTTTTCCTCCAGACTCTGGGAGGGCAAAAACGGCCTCCACGGACTCCGGAGGCCCATTTTTCACGTTCCCCGAGCCTCCACGCGGGCCCTGCCCTTACCTGCATCCAAAACAGGCCGTGTGGGGACTCCTGGGAGGGGCCAGCCAGGAGTGGGATTTTGGTGGGGGTTGTTCCCCAAACTGCCCAGAATCTTAGCTAGGAGCTCTCCGGAACCCCTAGCAGCCCACCCCTGAAAGGGGACTCCTTGAAGCTTGAGTTGCTTGCGTTTAGACCGGTGTATCTCAATCTTGGCGGCTTTTAAGATGCGTAGACTTCAACTTCCAGAATTCCCCAACCAACCTGGGGGAATTCTGGGAGTCGAGATCCGCCCACGGTGGCGGGGGGGGGGAAAGGGAATTCTGGGAGCTGGGAAGTCCCACGCATCTTGGAAGTGGCTACGGTCAAGAAACCCCTGGATGACAGACAGACAGACACATAAAGACGCGCTCCCTGTAGAAGTTCCGTCAGACCCTGTATAAACTAGCTTTGTTTAAAAAAATAGAGCTATTTACATGATAAAGCGGAGCGCTTCGTCCTCTCGCCGAGCGGGACTTGTTCCCGAGGTGTACATCCTGAAATTGTGTCAAATTTTTTTGGGGAAAAAATAAAATAAAATACTGAAGCGCCAGATAGGACGCTGCCAGAGCTCGCTTGGCTGGAGGAGAAGATAAAGGTTGAGATTTCAAATTTTGAAATCAACGTGGATTGGCCAACAGGTTGCAGGAAGGCGGTGGGACTAGCCGATCCTGCTGCATAACAGAAGAAGGTAGGACAATGTCTCCAACTGGGCAGACAAAGCCTGTGGCCAAACCCTCGCTGAGCGACTTTTGATAGTTGCATTAAAAAGAAAAAAAAAAAAAGATAGTTCACCCATTTCTTCCCAATTCAGCTGTCAGGAAGTGAAATTTACAAGGAGGGAAATCCAGCTTGGAAATAGGGAGGAATTTCCTAACAGTGAGAATAAAGAACCGGAGGAACGGAAGTTGCTTTCGGAAGTTACGGGTGCTCCCATCCCTGGTGGCTTCCAAGAAGAGACAGGATAGCCATTTGTCCAGGGTTTAAAAATTAAAAACAAAACTTAAAATCAGGGCAACTCGACCAAAGTATAGTTGGTTGTCGACATATTTAAATTTGTCCAGAATCTTTGGTATAAAGATTCTAACAGAATAACAGAGTTGGAAGGGATATATATATATATATATATAAAATATATATATATTAAAAGGCAGTGGTGACGTAGGAAGACTTTAGGATAAGGTTGAAAAAAAGATTCCAGCCGGAAGGAAAAGCCCATCGCACCCGTGCCAGGCAATATGAGTGAAGTGTTATTTCGTTATTGACTCGACAAGAAGTTCCATCACTTTTCAAGGGAAGGGTGCAAGCTATTTCCTTTTCCTGGTCTGCAATAATAAAAAGGCGATTTTTAAAGGCTACTCCGATCTGGTTGTCACACCTCAAACCTTCATTTGCGTTCCTACCGAGTTGTGGCTTGCCAAGAGAAGGGCACGCAATTTGCTAGTGGGAGCCGACCGGATTGAGGAGGGGGAGGGGGATGGCTTCAGGGCAGCCGGAGACCCCTTAAGAGGCAAAATTTTCAAAGGTCTACTTCAGAGGTCTCCAAACTTGGCAACTTTTAAGACTTGGGGACTTCAAACTCCCCAAAATTTTGGGATTTTGAAGTCCCCAAGTCTTAAAAGTCGCCAAGTTTGGGGACCCCAATCTACTTGGTGGAAAGGACCAAAAACAAAACAAAAAACAAAAACCCCAAAACCAACAAATGGAAACTGCACGCTTTACAATAAAAAAGTAGAAACGGATTTGATTCCTTTTTTTTTCTTTTTTACGAATATAAAGTTTCTTGTAAATATGTACAGTGTTCGGAGCTATTCTATAGCAGGAAGCATTTTTCACAAACAAGACACGCGATATACACTTTCAAGGACTCGAGAAGCCGAGTTTTCAGGTAATGAGGGATTATCATTATTAAGTAATAGTAGTAGTAGTATTAATCAGTAGGAGGGGTTTTATTTCTTTTCTTTTTTTTCTCTTTTCCCCATAAGATGCTAAAGACCTTAAAAGAGCTCTTGGGATTTCCAGAGACGGAAATCCTTGCACATTTCCTGACAAACCGCCGGAGAATGCAATCGACCTGACCCTGTTTATCCGCAACAAGGCCCCCAAACCCGAAGCGGGAAACACCAGAGGGGAGGCCTCTCTATAGGGTGGCACTGGGAAGTTGGGGTGCCCAAAGGAACCGGCGGAGGCAGGTGGATTTGCTCTGGCCAGCTGGGAGCAAAAAAAACAACAATAAAAAAGAGGGCAAAAGCAAACTACGGCTCAAAACGGTGTGTTGGAACTGAGCGGGAGCCAAGAATGAGAAGCGAAGGCAGGGCTGCGGTGGCAGGAAGAAGAGCCACAGCTGGTTTGTCGCCCACATCCTCTTCCCAAAAGCGAGGAGGGGGGGAATCTCCGGATGGCAAAGAGGGTTCCCCCCTCCTCTTTCTGTGACTTTCCTCGCTCCTTTTGGCCACGGGGTCGGCTTGCCTGCTCTCTCTCTCTCTTTCCCCCCTGATCCCGGGTTGGGGGAAAGGTAGCGTCTCCTCTGCTGGTCATCTTGTTCGGTGGATGGGCCGGATTCCTGGGCCGGCTTCGGGGGCCTGCCTCGGTGGGCTCAGTTGCAGCGGGGGTCCTCGAGAACCGTCCCATTTGCTCCTTGGGTGCAAGGTTTCTTTCCCCCTCCCCTCCCCCGTCCTCCCCTGCCCTTCCCTGCACACCCTCCTCCCCCAGGTCCACAAAGGGATGGTTCTCGGTTGCAGCATCGTCTCGAAGAGAAAAGGCTTCGGTATTTCGAACACGGGAAAGTTACGAGATATACAATATCGAGCAAAGCAACTGAAAAAGAGGCTGCGGTCAAGGTGACGGCGGCGCAGGAAGCATGCAGGGAAGTCGCCATGCAGGAAAGCCTGAGGGGAGGGCCGGAGGCCTGGCTCTGTGCGTGTGTGTGTGTGTGTGTGTGTGTGAACGGAGCAGTTGAGACCCCCTCCCCGGGGGCCTTTGGATGCAGAGGGCGAGAGACCAGTGGGCAGCTTTCATCGACGGTCGAGGCGCATTGGAGGTGGGGAATCGTTCAAAATTGACATTTCTTCCCTGCAACCACAGAGATGCGCTGACAACTACGGTGTGTGTGTGTGTGTGTGTGCGTGCGTGTGTTGTGTTAAAATTTGGATTTGGAACGGTCAAAATTCCAAAAATGATAATCCTCATCATCCTAATGTTCTGGGAAGCAACGGATTCCCTCCGTCGCCCGCAATTTCGCTAGAGCTCTGCAGCGGAAGAGAGGAGGAACACTGGGGAGCAGACAAAAAGACACCGGACCGCTGCTGGTTATACGAGGCTTTTTCCCCCAAAATAAACGGACAGCCAAGTTTTGTGTTTTGTTGTTGCTGTTTTTTTTTTGTTTTGTTTTGTTCTTCTTCTCAGTCTTGGGCCAAAGCCCCATCGCCAATCGGACGATTGACGGGACAGGGGGAAAGCGAAATAGAAAAATCGAGGAACTGCTTTGAAAGGAGCAGTAATACAAATTGACCCTTTCCCTCCCCACCCTCTTCTCCCCAAGGGACCGGGACAGGGGAGGAAAAGGGGAAAAAAAGAAAGGAAAAGGACACCCTCCCCCGAGGTGGGATAGGAAGGCGGAAGGTGAAAAAAAGAAATTGAGGGTTACTTGGGGAGTTAAAAAGTTAGGGTTACTTGGGGAGGTGGGGGGTGGAGAATGGGTGGTGCACCTAATTCTGGATAGTTTTTGTGTTCTTCCTTGGAGTTCAGGGTCGGAGGGTGGAGGCTTGTGACGCTTATACTGAAGATTGGTCCCAGACCTGTTGAGGAGAAGGCGGAAAAAAGAAGAAGAAAAAGGGACATTAAATTTTCTCTCCCTTTCCCTCTCTCTCTCTCTCCCTCTCTCTCTCTCAAATGCTAAGAGCATTTTCGGAAGAATTTTAAACATCACCTTTTCGAGCAGTAAGTCCCCAGCTGACTTTCATGCCTATGGGAGGATTAGAACTCACTGTCTCCTGGTGATTGGCCCAAAGTCCTCCAACCAGCTTTCACGTTTAAGGTGGGATTAGAACTCACCCTCTCCTGGTGATTGGCCCAAAGTCCCCCAACCAGCTTTCACGTTTAAGGCGGGACTAAAACTCCCTGTCTCCTGGTGATTGGCCGAAAGTTCCCCAATTAGCTGTCATGCTAAGGCGGGACTAGAACTCACCACCCCCTAGTTTCTACACTGGTATCTTAACCACTACACCAAAACGACTCTCATTTTCCCCAGGGGCCTGGGAGGGAGGAGAACCATTATTTTTTTCACAATTGGGGAGGGGGGGAGGCCTGTCCCCATCCTGCCGTACCTTGTTGACCTGGGCGAGGGGGGTCCGGGCGCCCCCCACTTGTATTCGTCCCCTGCTGCTCTCCTCAAACAGTCTCCCGGGGGACCTTTCTCGGCGGGTGCTGAGCACCCTTCCCGGGGATTTCTCCCTCTCCAGGGGGCGTCCCGGGGACTTGTCCCTCCGTAGCTCTGTCCTTCCTTCTCGGTAGCGGTGCGGTGTGCTTGGCTCGCGAGGGTGGCCGGGACCTTCGGGGGGCCCTGGGCTCGACGCTACCCGCTTGGTTATGTGCTCGTTATACGTGGGCGGGCCCCTCTTGTTTGGGCTGCTGTCCATCCCAAAAATTAAAAAAAAAAAAATAAGAATCAGGCTCCCAATAATGCAACCAGGATAAAATGAACCCCGAGGCATTTCGCTTCCTCAAAGAACAAGTTTGTTAAGGTACGCCATCTTGGCACTAACTAGTGGAAAGCCAGCGCTGAAGGTTTCCCGGCTTTCCACGTCGCTATAACTAGTTTTTTTTTTCTTTTTTCTTTTCAATTTTCCAAAACAATAGGTCACATTTTCCGACCAGGATGTGAAACGGTTGCCTGACAACTTCGCTCCTCCTTCCTTCCTCTGGCCAGGCAGCCCTTGGAAAGGCAGCTGACTCATCGTCCAGCTATGTTATTTTGGCTGGAGTTCCATCCACTTCAACTCCCCCCCTCACCCATTTCAGCTCCCAATGGGTCAAACTGAATTCATATGAATAATCCGGATATCAACCAATCCACCACTTCATCGAATTCAGGCTTGACACAGGGGACGAGGGAGAATGTCCAATTGAGAGTGCGATTTGCAGCACCACCCGTAGTGTTCGTGTCCGCTGGAGAATTGAGGAAAGGCAAAGCATCCCCAAAGATAAAAATCTGTAGAGATTCTCCATCATCCAGGTGTCCCAAAGATGCCTTTTTTTTCAGGGCCACTGCACTTTCTTGTTGTTTTTTTCTTTTTCTTTTGAAGACCTTTCACTTCTCATCCAAAAAGCTTCTTCAGCTCTGGCTGGATGGTGAGGAATGGAAGAATTTATTACGTTCCTTGCAGACAGTTGGTCATTTGCATCCTTTTAGAGGGTCGTTGAGGCCACTTGGAGGTTTATCTGTGTCCTCAGAGTCACCTTAATAATGCTCTGACCCCTGTAGCCTGCAATTTTTTCCTTTGTTCAAAGGGTGTTCGTGCCAAATTTTATAGCTACAGATATGGCTATAAACCTCCACGTGGTCTCAACGACCCTCTAAAAGGATGCAAATGACCAGCTGTCTGCAAGGAGTATAAACCTTTCCATTCCTCCACCGTCCAGTCAGAGCTGAAGAAGCTTCTTGGAGGAGAAGCGAAACGTCTTCACAAGAAAACAATGAAGTCCGGTTGCCTCCTGAGAAAGCCCCTTTGGGACACCCGAAGATAGGTGCTTCCCCGATCCCAGCCATTCCCCCTTCCCATCCCACCTGCCCAATTGCAGAGCCCCTCTCAAGAACCCCCCCCTTTAGCTAGAAGGCATCCCGGATTCTCCCTCGAAGCTGGAATGCCGCTTCCTACCTGCGGGTGGTGGAAGAGCCCCGATGATGCTCGTTGTTGGATTCTTTCACCAAATTCCCTTTGCAGCAAATAACTCTCAGTTTGTCCTGGTAGGAAGAGGCCAGGTAAATGGCTCCGGAGGAGATTGCCGGGCCCAGGTAACGAGGGCTCGGGATGTCCAGGTGGGCTCGGGCTGGGATGCTGGCAGGAAAGAAAGATACTCTTTAGATGGGGGTCTGTGTGTGTGTGTGTGCGTGGGACAAATCTTGTCCTAAAGGCTTAGGAGCCGTTTGATGCTTGGCTGACTTACCCAAGAGAGGCGCGTACTTGAATTTCTATCACCTCCAGGGAGTTGAAGTGAGTCACGAACAGGTATGGTTCCCGATAGGCTGTGGCCGCGCCCAGAAGGAGAGAAGCCAGGTTAGAGAAAGTCATCAGGGGACAGACTGTTTTCTGTCCGAATCCAAGTTAAATTTTAAAATGTCTGCCTGTTATGGCCCACCCAGCGGCCAGCGGAGCTGGCGGCAGACTTGGACAGTGAGGAGGTTTGTGGGGGTGGGGAACATGGGCCAGTCCTGGAGTCTGGGAAAGACTCTGACGAGGGCTCTGCGTCGGAGGCAGAGATGAGGCCAGGGCCATCTGACCATTATCAGCTGCGTTTGGAGTCAGAGATCAGTGGGCAGAAGAACGGCTGGAGCCTGTTCCTAGTGTGCGCATGCACAGAGCTGCCAGAAGAGTTCAGAAACACTCAACTTGGGAGTAAAGCCACAGGTGGACGGTGAATGGCTCCTTCCACGGGGAATAAAGGGGAGCGAAAGGGGAGTGGTGCTCGTAGGAGACAAGTAGTTTAATTCATGAGGGTGAAGATCTGTTCCTACAGCGTGGCGTTTGGAATCTGTCGGCCTGGCAACTCTCCAAGCCTGATAAAGGTCTGTAGTTGTGAACTCTCTTGAAGGACTGTTGTCTGGGACTTGGATGGAGAGGAATTCCTTTTAACCTAAATAAAAGGGGTTTTATCGGGATGCTTTCATGATCTTGGGAAGGTCTAGGTTAGAACACTGAACGTTGAGAAAAACTGACCTACATACCTACAAGAGATGGTAGAATGGGAAAGGTAATTTTTATTAAATTCTTTTTTCCTTGTGTAGCTTTGCCAAGGCACGCAGTCCTGGACTTAGTGACCATTCAATGCTACAACGCCCCCCCACCCGCCAAAAAGCAAACTTTTTCACACTTATGACCGTTGGAGCATCCCTAAGGTCATGTGACCAAAATCCAGACACACTTGGCAACTAACTCAGCATCCTGGGATCATGGGATCCCCTTTTGTGACCACCTGGCAAGCAAAACCAACGGGGGAGCACTTAACAACCGTGTTACTGACTTAACAACTGCAGTGTGTTCACTTAACAACGGTGTCAAGAAATGTCATGAAATGGGGCAAAGCTTAACAAAAACCCATTTATCAACAGATCTTTTGGGGGCTGAATTATGGTCCTAAGTCAAGGATTACCTGTATTTTTTTAAAAAGCTAAATCTCTGAAGGATATGAATTTTCCGGGAGTAATTTTCCAACCCTCCGCATTCCAAAAAAAAAATACCACAATGAGCTCCGTGCCGAGCAAGGAAGTCAGAGATAAATCCTATATTCACCGAATGCTAAAGGCAGGCGGCTCCATTTCAGGTCGTCTGAGCGGCTGCGCCTTCCGTAGGAGTCTACAAAAATCCCAAATTCTGCAAGGAAGTTGGAAAAAATAATAATCATAATAATACTGTAATTGAAGTGGGATATTTAAGAAAGAAAGAAAGACTGTCTGCCAAGAGCCCAGAAATCCATTCCTGTTTCCATTCCATTCCACTTAATTCCATATATTCCACTCCACTCCAATCCATTCCACTCCACCCCAGTTTATTACACCAGCTTCCTGCTTCCCATCCACCATCTCTCATATCAACTTACCGTGGAAGCAAAGCAGATACTCTTCCCTCTGCCCTGCTGGGTTCACCTGGATGATGCTGATTGGGAAACTGTTGTTGGAAGATGCAAGGACAGCGGATGCCAAGGTGTGGTCATTCTTATCCAGGAATTCTAAAACGACACATTTCAGCCTTGGTGAAAGCAGGAGGTTGCCCGGAAACCTACACCAGAGAGCTGCGGTGGCGCAGAGGCTGGAACGGAGCATTGCAGGCTGACTCTGCCCACTGGCGGCAGTTCGATCCTAACCTGGCTCAAGGTTGACTCAGTCCTTCCGAGGTGGGTCAGTCGAGGACCCAGATTGTTGGGGGCAAGAGGCTGACTCTGCAAACGGCTTACAGAAGGCTGTAAAGCACTATAAAGCGGTATATAAGCCTAAGTGCTATTGCTATTTTTTCCTTCCTTTTCTTCCTTCCTTCCTTCCTTCGTTCCCTGCAATTGCTCTTCCTTTTCTTTCCTTTTTTTCGTTCCTTCCCTCCCTCCCTTCGTGCGCAGTGGTTAGAAAGCAGCATTGCAGTTTTTCCTTTTCTCTCTCCTTCCTTCCTTCCTTACTTCCTTCCTTCCTTCCTTCCTTCCCCTCCTTCCCTGCTATTGTTCTTCCTTTTCTCTTTCCTTCCTTCATTCCTTCCCTTCCTCCCTTCGTGCGCAGTGGTTAGAAAGCAGCATTGCAGGCAAACTCTGCCCACTGCCAGCAGTTTGATCCTGACCAGCTCATGGTGGACTCAGCCTTCCATTCTTCCAAAGTCAGTAAATGAGGATCCAGATCGTTGGGGGGAACATGCTGACTCTGTAAACCACTTAGAGGAGGCTGGGAAGCCCCTGGAAGCTGTATAAGTCTAAGGGCTATCGCCATTGGTCTTCCTTCCTTCCTTCTCCTCCCTCCCTGCTGTTGTTCTTCCTTTTCTCCTTCCTTCCTTCTTTTGTTCCTTCCCTCCCTCCCTTCGTGCGCAGTGGTTAGAATACAGCATTGCAGGCAAACTCTGCCTGCAGTTCGAATCTCAGCAGGCTCAAGATTGGCTCAGCCTTCCGTCCTCCCAAGGTGGGTGAAATGAGGAGCCAGTTTGTTAGGGTTTGCAAGAGGCCGACTCTGTAAACCGCTTAGAGAGGGCTGTAAAGCGGTCTATAAGTCTCAGGGAGATGGCTACGGCTAAGGCCCGAATCAGAGGGAGGGATCCGTCTTACCATCGCCCCTCCCTCCGCAGCCTTTTGAACGCTCTCCCTTCAAAGCAGGCCGGCAAGAAGGGATTCCTACCTTCTAGGGTGTACTGCTTCATCTCAATTTCGTAAAACTTATTGGTCCCCACGATGATGCTGTAATTGGTGAAATGGATACAGCTGCAGGGTTCCGAGGTTTCGATCTCCTGCCAGAGCAAAAACAAAACAAAACAAAACAAAAAACCAACAATGGGCACAAGCTCCGTCGGCAAAGTTCTCCCTTCATGGGAGAAAAACCCAGCCCGGCTGAAGCTCTGGTAGTTTAGTTACAATCTTTTAAAGATAAAGACTTGGAATGTACTTCCGCTTCCAAACTGCTGCACGGCTCTTCCAGATTCCACCCCCCCCCCCATTTTTTTAATGCCAACTACTAAAACAGGCGTAGGAATGTTTTATGAGTTGGCAGCAGGCAGGTTAAAGAGAAGGAGACCCGGTCCAATTCAAATGAATGCGATGGAGGTGCCACCAGTCTTTCACTGGAGACATGGTTAGGCTTTCACGGACCCAGAAGGCCCCTTTACCTTCCTGATGCAGTACTTGCTGAGGCTCTCGTTGTAACGCAACACCACGATTTTGCTGGGCATGGCCGCGCAGATGTACAACCCGTTGTCGATCTGTAAAAGGAAGCCAACAGAAGCGCTGTTTGGGAAAGAGGCTGGCAGTAGCGGGGATCGGATTCAATCAATAAGAGGCCAAGCACGTCAGTAACGGTCATTTGCTTACACGGAATGGAAGTTTGTAAGTCAGGGTCTTTGAGGGCTGGGCCAGGCCTGCTTGCTTACTTGCTTAGCCTCACATTAGGGAGATACAGGTAGTCCTCGATGTACAACAGTCCATTTAGTGACTGTTTGAAGTTCTGATGGCTCTGAAAAAAGTGACCTAGGACCATTTTTCACATGTATGATTCTTTTTTGTATCTGCTCATCCAACAATCTTAGTAACTGGCTGTTTTTGTGCCTGCTCGTCCAACTATCTTAGTGGCTGTTTTTGTGCCTGCTCGTCCAACTATCTTAGTAGCTGTTTTTGTGCCTGCTCGTCCAACTATCTTATTAGCTGGCCATTTTTCTGCCTGCTCATCCAACTATTTTCATTTGTGCCCACGCATTGTTCCGTGAACGACTGAGAACATGGAGGGTTACTTACTTAATTACCACTTACCTTGCCAGCCGCAAAAAGATGGCAGCCTTTCACAGCCTCAAAAATATTGGGGGAGACGTCAGGTTGAGCTGGGAGGTGGGACTGAGCGAGGGACTGCTTCACTTTTTTCACATCCACAAGGCACAACGCCCTTTCGTCTCCTGGGGAAACCATGCCACGGAGAGATAGAATTCCTTTATTAGCCGAGCGTGATTGGAGACACAGGGGATTTGTCTCCGGTGCTTAAGCTCTCAGTGTGCACACAAGCAACAAGTGGTAAATCATGACTGTGATCAGAAGGTACCATCGTCATAAAGCGCAACCTACAGCATGCAGTGATGGTCATAGGATACTAAGCGCGCAAACAACAAAAATTGTAATAGGATCCTAAATTAAAGGCAACCTACATAAATCATGAGATACAAACAACCCAATTATAGTCATCAGAAGCTAAGGAAATAGGGAAGATGAAAAGATGAGAGAGATAATCAGGTGGCTTGACATCCTAGAGCAGTGGTGCTAACCTTTTTGGGCTTCTGTGCCAAAAATTGCACGCCCTGCATGCCAGCACCCAGAATACAATACGCCCCCCCCCCCGCACAATTCCCCCAGCCACCCCTTTGCCTGCATTACACCTCACAGCTGATTTTTCGGTTGGTTTGAGGCTTTATTCGGCCTCCCAGAGGCTTGGGAAAAGCCTCTGCAAGGCTTTTCAGGACGAATTATAGGACTGTTTCATCACTTCCAGTATTACAGGAAGTGACGAAATGGGCCTATCGACCTGAAAAGCCTTGCAGAGGCTTTTTTCCCAAGCCTCTGGGAGGCCGAAAAAGGCCTCAAACCAACCGGAAAAAAAAATCAGCTGTGAGATGCATGCACGCGCAGTGAGGTAAGTTTATCTGCGGCTCACGTGCCAGCACAAATGGCTCTACGTACCACTTGTGGCATGCGTGCCATAGGTTCGCCATCACGGTCCTAGAGCGTAAACAGTATCATGGGAATTGGTTGTTTAGCAGAGGGATGTCATGGGGGTGGAACCCGTGTCTGGTTGTCTTGGCATGAAATGGCTACAGCATGAACAGCAGTCAAGGGAGGTTGGACTTAACTCCCTTGTGGCTATGTAGGGATTCCAGGCTGACCCCTCTTTTAACTCCACCCTAGGTTCTGCCACTCCTTCTCCTATACATAGAGGATGAGTTCGAATCCTCGGAGGGCAGCAAAACACTCCCCTTCAATTCTGGCCCGCAGAATAAAAAGGAACAGCCACTTGATAGTGAGGTGTGTGGTGTGTGTGTGTGTGTGTGTGTGTGTGTGTGTAAACAAACAAAATTATTCTAGGCTGTTGAAGACAGCACGCATAAAATAATTGCCTGGAGAGCCAACAGACACGAGTCCCAGGAGCCAGTGTTTTCGAAAAGCAAGTTTCTAGCCCTCATGGTCCGGATCGATCTGGAAGTAAGGGCACCGATTCAAAAGTTCTCGCGGGTTGTCCTTGATTTCAAGCAGCAAAAAGGGAGGGAGCAGAGAGATAGTTTCTTGTGCGCGTAAAGCCAAGGCGCCCTTTCTGACGCCCTCCTTACCCGAAATCATGAGCAGCTTCTCCAGGTCCTTGATGAGGTGGATCTGAAAGACAGCTCCAATCCCGGGCACGTGCGTTAAGGAATTCTTTAGCACGTTCAAGGCGTAAAGTCCTTCCTCGGCCCCCACCAGGACCACCTGTCCAACAGGATTGACACATCCCTGCGTCAATCAAAGGCATAGAAAGGAGGCCACTGGGCGGCTCAAAAGGCAAACGCAAAAAACGCTTGGACCAGAGATCCCCACACGGCAACTTTTAAGACTTGTGGACTTTGACTCCCAGAATTCTCCAGCCAGTATGCTGGCTGAGCAATTCTGGGAGTTGAAGTCCGCAAGTCTTAAAAAGCTGCCAAGTTTGAGGACCATCTGGCCATTTGACACACACAACAAGGAAGTTGGGCTATTTTGACAAAGGCCTAACAACAGTGATGGCGCACCTTTTTGTTGTGGTGTGCCGAAAGTGCGCACATCCCCCATGGTCCCATGATCCAAATTTGGATGATCCAAAATCATCAAACGGGGGCAAAAGTCGCTAAACAAATGTCTCACTTAACAACCTAAAGGTTGGGCTCCATTGTAGTTGCGAGTTGAGGACTCTCTGTGCTTAAAATCGGAGTCTATTTTAACGTTAAGTTGTCGTTATTTTGATATTTTTCTTGTTATCTTTAGTTGCTTGGAAGGCTCCTAGCAATAGCCCTTAAACTTATATACTACTTTACAGTGCTTTACAGCCCTCTCTAAGTGGTTTCCAGAGTCAGCCTATTTGCCCCCAACAATCTTGAGTCCTCATTTTACCGACCTTGGAAGGAGGGTAGGCTGAGTCAACCGTGAGTCTGGTGGGATTCGAACTGCCGAACTGCAGGCAGCCGGCAGCCAGCAGAAGCAGCCTAGAGTACTGCATTCTAACCACTGCGCCACAAATGGCTTTTAGACTCAGCTGCTGGCCAGAGGGGCAGCAGGCAAATGGAATACATAAATAAATTTGCCAGTTGTTCAAAACTTAAAATGGGCTTCTCTGTTCAGGCGCCACAAACGTTCCCGCCGGCATTCACAGTGAGCTGAAGCCAGAGACCTCTTACCTGATCGCTGAAGGGTAAAGTGCAGTTGATATCCAACCGGTCTTCTCCTTCCAGCTTCAAGAGGGAATTTCCAAGGAGTTTCTGTGCAGGAAGGCAGAAGGGGAAGAGGTGGATGAGAAAGGTCACTTCAGAGGCTGGTCATGAATCTTATCTATATATATATAAAAGCGAAAGGCCACTCACGCATCATCACAAAATCTCCAAAACCGTAACGTCTACAAACTTGAAATTTGGCACCTATGTTCCTCTTGGCTTCTAGGGGCTCACTAAGAAAGGATTTTTCCAAATGACCATCAGAGCATTTAGTGTTTCCTATATTATTATCATTATTAAAACGCTCTGATGCTAAGGAGTTCTACTCCCCCTGCCCACCTGAAAAGAAATCTGCTCCAGATGCAAAACACAAGCAGAGGAGAGGAGTTTCCGTTTTAGTTTCACAGCATCAAGCAGCTTTAGTACAGAACAGTTGAGCTAAGCCATGCCCAGGCTCCTTGCTGTCTCCTTCTTGCTCACACAGCAAATACTATTTCAGTTTCCAAACAGACCTCAACTCTCTCACACACTGACAGGACGCTAGCCAGATGAATACCGATGGATGCTGGTAGGCAGAGGCAGAATTTCCCCCCCCCCTCAAAAACTAAGCCCCACCACATAGTTTCGTAGCAAAGCACGGGTACAGAGCTAGTAACATAATAATTCTTGATTTACAATCATAGTGACTCGCTTGAAGTTATAACAGCACTGGAAAAACTGACCTAAGGCTTTACAATAATAAAACAATAATCCCCACCCCAGTGGTGACAACAATCAATCAGATAAGCCACTTGATCGGCTCCATCCCACTCTGGGTTCCGTTGGCAAATCCACGTCTTCAGGACCTTGTGAAAGGATAGAACAGCAAAAGCCCTTAGACTTATATACCGCTTCACAGTGCTTTTACAGCCCTCTCTAAGCGGTTTACAGAGTCAGCCTCTTGCAAACCCCAACAATCTGGGTCCTCATTTTACTGACCTCGGAGGGTCAGAAGGCTGAGTCGACCTTGAGCCTGGTGAGATTCGAACTGATAAATTGCAGGCAGCCGGCAGTCGCAGAAATAGCCTGCAGTACCCTGTTCTAACCACTGCGCCACCACGGCTCACAATAAAATGAATACATTCCCTAGAATGTATTGGAAAAAATAGCTAAGTGAAGGCAACAATATAAAATGAGCATCTTTAATTCTTTATAGGTGTTTCGTCCTCATTTTAGCGGCACGGCATTTTTCTACTGGACAAGCAGCAGCTGGATTTGGATCCTGAAGAAGTTGGCTTGCGTAGACATATTTGCTGTCTCTAAGACTCTCTCTAATAGAGGGAGAACGGACTTCGATCTGACGTTGACGTGCAGTGCAATCGGACTTGTGGGATGCCTTCAGCTTCCCCATTGCCACATGTACCCCTTTTGCTTAGCTTTTGCGGGGGTTTTATCATCTGCCCCGCAGGAGCGCCGAGGGGAGGATATTAAACCTGGCTCTAAAAAAAGAATAATGCTCTTTTACTCTTAGGACTCCTTGCTGGCTCCCGTACACCCCATTTAACCCAATTTCTGATATCCTGTTGCCTTCTGTCTGGAACTCCGTGTCTCTTATTAGCCCAGGTTAATAAGCAGCCAAGATCTGTTGGAAATCTCCAGAGGTGCTTATACGAGGCCCTTTGGATATTATTTCTGTTTTTAGTGCTCGGAGGGGGATCGTAAAAGCTCCAGACACCCAGTTAACTTTTGGACAAGCCTGTTCAGCAATGAGGGCCCTACTAGAAGCCGAAGGATTACGTGCACCGCTGTTTGTTGTTTTTTTTTTTTCAAGGCGATCCATCGCAATTCATCAAAGTCGCTATAATGGCCTTTCTTGAAAGCCCCCCCCCCCCCCCCCCCCGAGCTCTTAATTTGGGAGGGTGCAATTCACGTGCACCCGCGGAGCTTTTTCTGCAGAAGGCATTCGGGAAGAGGAATACCAACTGCATTTCCAGCCCTCGTTTTTTTGTTTCAAAGGTTAAAGGCATTGGTGGGGAAATGAACCTGAGCCAATGATTTTGATTAAGAAATCGCTCCTGGCCGAGCGATCAAGGACCGGAGGCTTTGGCAAAGAAAGAGAGAGAGAGAGAGAGGGAGAGAGAGAGAGAGAGAGAGAGAGAGAGAGAGAGAGAGAGAGTCCACTCCCCGATTAAGAGTTCTCTCTTCCCTTCCTCCTTGTTTCACCCTCTTTTTTCTTTCTCTCTCTTCCTCTCTCCTTCCTCTCCCTTTTTTCTCTCTCCTTTTCTTAATTTCTCTTTCCTGCGTTCCTTTTTCTCCCCTTCCCTCCCTCTTCCTTCTTTTCTCCCTCCCTTTTTTTAAATTTTCTTTCTCTCTCCCTTGTTCCTCTCCCTTCCTCTTTTCTCTCTCTTTTTCTTTCTTTCCCCCTTTTTCCCTCTCCCTTTCTTCTTTCTCTCTTTCTGTCTCCTTCCTCCTCCTTTTTTCTCTCTTTCCCTTTCTCTCTTTCTTTTTTTTCCTTTCTCCTTCCTTCCTCCTTCCTTTTTTCTCCCCTTCCCTCCCTCTTCCTTCCTTTCTCTCTCTCCCTTTTCATTTCTTTCTCTCTCTCCCTTCTTCCTCTCCCTCCCTTTCCCTCTTTCTCTTTCCTTTCTTCTTTCTCTCTTCCTGTTTCCTTCCTCTTCCTTTTTTTCTCTTTCCCTTTCTATCTTTATCTTCATCTTTTTCTCCTTCCTTCCTTCCTTCCTTCCTTCCTTCCTTCCTTCCTTCCTTCCTTCCTTCCTTCCTCCCTCCCTCCCTCCCTCCCTCCCTCCCTCCCTCCCTCTTTCCCCTCCCTTCTACTTACCGCATCGGCTTCTGCCTTCTCTCTGGAAACTCTTCCTCCGGCCACGGTAGATTCCAGGGCATTCACCCAACGCTGCTTATCTGGAAAAGTAGGTGCCAGCAAATAGAGAGTCCGGCCAGGCCAACAGGTGGTGTGGGGATGAGATTCCAGCTTCAATATATATGGCACATCTAGGTGATGAGCACGCAGAACACACAAGAGACAAACTCCATTAGGGAAGAGCCAGCTTTCTTTTGCTGGCTCCTTTCTCTGCTTGTAGAGGGTGAACAAGAGGGTGGAAAGGTTTAACGTTAAAAAGTTTAACCCGAGTAGACAAACGTCGGTATTAATTGCCCCACCCAGAGCACCACAGTCCTCCTCCTCCTCCTCCTGGCACTGATGAGGTTACCTAGTTGGGTAATGACAGTTCTGCAAGAAATGAACCAAGCTCAGAGAGCACCAGAAACTCTACAGCTCAACCCTGATCTACAAATATTCTCTTGGAATGCTTTGGTTGTTTTGCGGGCAAGACCGCTGCTTGGGAGCAAACCCCTACCCCCTCTCTTGCACTGATGATGTAACCTAGTTGGGTGATGAAGATGTCTGCAAGAAAACCACCAGCATCAAAGGAAAGCCCCCAGTTCAACTCTGAGCTACAAATAATCTGACTCACTGGTACCCCCTTGTTCTTTTATAGTCATGTGGATTACTGGGGTGTCTGAAATGGTTTTATTACCCCCAGTGTCTTTCTTTCAGAATTAACAGAGTTGGAAGGGACCTTGGAGGTCTTCTAGTCCAACCCCCTGCTTAGGTAGGAAATACTCCACCACTTCAGACAAATGGTTATCTAATCTCCTCTTAGAAACCTCCAGTGTTGGAGCATCTACAACTTCTGGAGGCAAGTCGTTCCACTGGTGAATTGTTCTCACAGTCAGGAAATTTCTCCTTAGTTCTAGGTTTGCTTCTCTCCTGGATTAGTTTCCATCTGTTGCTTCTTATCCCAGGTGCTTTGGAGAATATTTCAGCCCCTGAAATATTGGAAGACGGCTATCCTGTCCCCCCCCGCTAGTCCGTCTCTTCATACCCGATTCCATCAACCTTTTATCATACGTTTTAGCCTCCAGTCCCCCAATCATCTTCGTTCTCTGCACTCTTTCTAGAGTCTCAACCTCTTTGGGACACAGATGTTCCCTTCATCATCATCATCTTCCTTTAATGACCCCGTCACCCTTTGCGGGGTGGAGTCTGGGACACTGAACGGAGCTAGCGGAGTGTTTTAATGGCCAGATGCCCTTCCTGTTGCCAGTACGCAGTTTTGCTCAGCGGATATATTCTCAGTGTGCCCAGAGAGAGAAATTATCAGCCTCTACCTAGAATCGAACTCACAGCCTGTGAGGCGAGAGCTCCACCTCTGGGCCACCGCACCAACCCCTCTCTCCATCAAGATCCTCCTCTCCATTGAATCCACACCTTTGAAGTCCCTCTTAGGTGATCAATTAGCAGGACGGTAGGAGAAGGGATCATGAAAGATAAACGATACCAGAAGGACATTTGCCTTTTGCAGGAAAGGTGTAAATCTAAGTTAAGAGCGTTTTACAATGCAGTTACTCTACTGGTAAGGATTTTAAAGGTATAAGAAGACCCTACTTGCTGTCTATGCTTTGTAACTTTCCTCACGTATCTATCTTGTGTGTACGCGAGGAAAGGTGTTACCCTAACCTTATTTGATCAATTAAAGTTAGATTTTGTTCTTCAGAGCCTCTGCTTAAGTTACAGCAGAACTTTACATTTTGGCGCCCAACTTTTCAGACCATCCTTCAAAAGGGGAGCACCGCCTTCCTGTCCTCAAGGCAGCTTCTGCAGCCCTGGATTTTCCATCCAGCCTCACCTGTCTTGGCTGTACTTAGAAGCTCGGTCGCTCCCACGGCCCCGTGGACAGTAACGTCTCCATCTGGAAGGCACAGTTCAAACTCTTCCACGGGCCGTTGTCCAGCTTTGAAAAATGATAAAAAGGGGAGAAATGAAAGGGCAAAGGAAGCGTAATGAGGAGAGGGTCTTCACCGGTTAAAAGGCTTCAATCTTCAGGTCGCTCGGGTGGGGGAAAGGGGGGCGGAGGATTAAAACTCAGGCGTGGCATCGCCACAGGAAACGAGCCTGCCGATTGCTCGGTGAAGGAAATTAGCAACAGCAGCAAAGCTACCCTGCAAGGCAAGCTAGCTTGCGTCAGGTGGTCCTCGACTTATGATGGCAATCGAGCCCAAAATTTCTGTTGTTAAGTGGGAAATTTGTCAAGTGCGTCTCGCTCCGTTTTGTGACTTCTTCTTTGGCTACATTTGTTAAGGGAATCGCTGCCGTTGTTTCAGTTAGTAACCCGGTTGTTAAGCAAATCTGGCTTTCCCGTGGACTCGGCTTGTCAGCAGATCGCAAAATCTGAACGTGTGACTTCAGGGTAGAATGGGACAAGTCAACGCCGCACGGCCAACTCGCCATTGGACAACTCGCCGCAGGACAATTCAACAGCTCAATTTAATTACTTCAAAATAGTTATGTCAGGATGCCAGCAATCACTTTAATTAAAATCATGATTCTCGAGCCAAACTTCAAAAAGCTTCAAAGGATTTATTGGAGGCGACATGCTGGCACTGCCCTGTATGAAGCCAACTCTGGCAGGCATAATTTACGGTCCCCTGTGACCCTGTTTCCTCCCTTCTCCCCTGGGTGGTGTCATAAATCAGATTCCCCAATTGAGCACTTTCACAGGCTGGGTGTCATCAATCACGCTATCCAATTAAATATATTCCCGGGCAAATGCTCTGGTATTTTAGTTACAATCTTTTAAAGATAAAGAGTTGGAATGTACTTTTGCTTCCAAACTGCTGCACTGTTCTTCCAGGTTTCCTCTCCCCCCCACCTTTTTTTAATGGCAACTATTAAAACAGGCATAGGAATGTTTTATGAGTTGACAAGTTAAAAGACATTTAACCTTTTTGCCATTCACATTTCATTCTGTCCCTCTCCTTTCGCACCCTTTCATTATTGTATTCCACTGTTTCTCGGATATTATTGTAACTCTTGTCCTATGGCGGGTTGGCTGTGAGGAGTTGGCTGATGTCACCGACCCGATCCGTCATAAATATGAGTCATTGGCCAAGCTTCTGAACTTGGATCCCGTGGCCACGGGGAGGCTGCAATTGTGAAAAACGGCCATAAGTCCCTTTGTTCAGTAGTGCCGTTGTGACTTCAGACACCCATGGTTGTAAGCCGAGGAACTTAAGTTGTATGTCATCCATGCTCTGCCTTTCGGATGCAACGAAAACCAGCAATTATGGCATCCACAATGCCCCCAGAGGGGTTTTTCCTCTCCCCCCCTACCCCCCACCAAGCTGAAGGAATTCAAATTGAGGGAGTAGACAGTGTACCCCTGGGTGACTAAGTGCAAATTAAAGCAAAAATAATGCAACTAATAAATGGAAGCAAAATAGTGCAAAATAAAAACAGACATCACACCTCCACCTTCCCCCTCCCTGAGCAACCTGCTTCCTCCCCGCATATCTCTGAACCATATTGCTAAGTTTTGTTTATTTTTATAGTTTCACTCTTTTCATTCTCGTTCGATTTACATTTTTTAAATAATTTGAGAGTGTGTATGTATGTATGTATTTATGTATGTATGTGTGTGTATATATAT